GTGTGCACCGAAATTAATTTTGGTGGGCCTAAACTGCACCTAAATTGTACCTAATTCCTGAATAATATTTACCAGTGTTCGACCAAAATTAGTGGGTGGGTCAGCTAGCGAGACGTCACGCTGGCTGACCCAAAACACATTTTTGCGAATTTCTCGGAAACCGAGTCTGCACCGAAATTAATTTTGGTGGGCCTAAACTGCACCTAAATTGCACCTAATTCCTGAGTAATTTTTATCAGTTTTTGGGGAAGTGGGTCAGCTAGCGTGACGGACGTTTTATTTACTGAACTTCGGTGTAAAAAAAGTCATAACTCAAATTATTGTAGAGTGCTCCCAGTAATACTATACTTAATTATTGCGCAATATTTGAGGTGGCATATTTTCAAAAACTATTATTTTTTATCAAACAATTTGCATGTTAAAAATTTATTTTCATAAAGAAAATGTGTGCATGCGTGATTTTTTTTCAAATTTTTTCCTTGCCCCGTTCTCGAGATATCTGGAAAATTATTAAATAAATTTAATATTTATTTATTATTTATTGTTTATGTTATCAACCCGAAAAATTTGAAACAAATCAAACACAAGAAGTGTGAACCCCGTCCATTTTGGTATGGAACGCCCCATAAATAGATTAACTTTAAGTATGCATATACAGCTTTTAGGCACAGGTTTGTATTAGTCTCATACATTTAGGATTCATTTTTTAACTATGATATTAGCGACCGTGAAGCCAGCATGTTGTTCCTTTGGTCACTGTTCGTTTAAAAGTAAAGTCATAAAAATGCAAAAACCGATTTCGATTTCGCGCATTTTAATGATCAACTTGGAGAAGTGCAACATAACAATAACTATTTTGCATGCATTTGTATGTATGTTTGTGGTATGTAAATGTATACTACTGAAAGCAGACCGAATCAGGTCATAAAATGGTTTTATAGATAATGCCATTCAGTTGTGCCCATTGCCACAATCGAAGCCCTTACACTACGTGTATACTTATGAATGTGTACCTGCACTGTTGGTAAAGACGGTGTTGTTGTTGTTGCTATTGTCATCTTGTTTTCTTGTCACTTATGCGTGCTGGTTATGTTTTTATTTCCTTTTTTTCTTTTTTTGTCGCACCTTTTTTTTTGATATTCCAGACTTGGTTATGTTGGCTGTGCATGTTTGTACATGTATTTACGAGTACATTGGAATTATAAAATCTATTATATTTTAAGACGTCCACCAAAATATTTCGGAAAAAATTAAGATTTAAGCGAACTGGACCGATTTGAAAATACTCCCAAAAATGGAGATTTTTATGAATAAAAATAGTTTCTTAAAGATGTTTTTTGCAAAAATCCCCTCAAATTTACACAAAAAAATTCAAAAAATAAAAAAAAAATGTTTACGGAATCGTAATGAGATTTTTGATGTTGTTTAAATTAAAATTTACACAAAAATATTAAAAAAAAAAAAAATTAAAAAAAATTTGTATGGAATCGTAATAAGCTTTTTGATGTTGTTTTTAACTTTTTCAAAGAATTTAAATAACTGAACCTAAACTCTTCCGATTTAGACATCTGAGGTATCATTGGAAAGGTATTTTCTCACCCATTGTGGGACATTGGGACACGAATGACTTTTTTGCACATAAATAAAAATAGTGGGAAAATACCTTTCTAGCGAGATCCCATAAGTCTAAATCAGAATAGTTTTGAGCCAGTTGTTTAAGTTTTCTTTGAAAAAAGTAAAAAAACAGCAGCCAAAATCTCATTGTTACGATTCTCTTGAAAAGATTTTTAAATATTTTTATGCAGATTTTTAAAACCTAATCTGGTTTGTCATCTGAGGGGACTCTTTTCAAAAAGTTCTTTAAGAAACTATTTTTATTCATAAAAACCTCCATTTTTGGAGGTATTTTAAAATCGGTCCCGCTCGCTTAAATCTTAATATTTTTCCGAAATATTTTGGTGGACGTCTTAAAATATAATAGATTTTGTAATCCCGTCGGAAAAACGGCAACTTTTTTGGTGATGTAGTCTAATGTACATACATACATATAATGTCCATAAGACATAATAGATGTCGGCGCACAGCGACAATGTCGCGTTTTTCTACAAAGTTAAGAAAAGAAGATATCACCGCGGAAAACTTGTCGCCAAGGCATTGCTTAAACACTTCATACATTGGTATCAACTGCTAAAGGTACCGGTAGACCAACTCTACAGACATATGTACATATGTACATACTGCGTACATGCATACAAATATATGGCCATACCCATTGCATGTGCATAAAAAGATATGTATGTATAGCAAATGAGATCATGGGATGTGCAGATAAGCAGATACATTTGTATGTA